ATTGCTTCTTCCATTCCACGAGCATTCATTAATCACTTACTATTTACAAATCAGTGTAGGAGTAGAAACGAAGCCAAGTAAGTGGTTAAGAGTTAAGGCACAGCTCTTTTTCTCAGTGTATTTTACTTAACAGTGAGCCCACTATAGTTCCTGGAAGCATCAGTGTTCGTGTAACAGAAGACTAAGGTAAGTAATTAACTCCCATTGCTGTCTGTTTGACTTACTATGCCTCCCTTTGGTCACCAATTTAAGGAAGTGAAAAAATGTGTCTCCCCTAAACACACACACACACACACACACACACACACACATGGGGTGGGGGAGAGAGACAGAGAGAGAGAGAGGGAGAGAGAGAGAGAGAGAGAGAGAGAGAGAGAGAGAGAGAGAGAGAGGAGGAGGGGCTTATACACTAACAAATGAGACAGTTTTTGCATTACACCAAAAAAAAAAAAAGTTTTAAGGAGGTAAAGAATGTTTTTGATGACTGGATAGGGTATACCCACATCTATGTGAAATGTCTGTCATGCAAATATGTTGGGAGGATTTGCTAGGGAGGAGAGAGAAAAACAACCTGTTAAAGGTTTCCAGTGGGGCTGAACAGTGGAGCCCATCATCCTTGGGCTGCAAGAAAGAATAAGAGACAAGAAAGTCCAAACAGGGTTCTTAATGCTGGGGTGGTATACTGAAACCATGGTGATGACTCCAGTCTGGCTTTGTGTATAGAGGTGTATAACGTAGTTCAGGCTTTGTCTAGGAAACAGTGGGACAGATCAAACAGAAGGAGGCACAGAAGTACAGAGCTGGGATATAAGGAGGGTCTGGTGTTAGTGGTACAAAGGATGAAAGGTCTGAAGAAAGCATGGGAGGAACCTGGAAAAGTGGATGTCTAATGCGTGATATTGAAACTAGAAAACTCCAAACTTGCAATAACTGAGACAAGATTATGAAATATCATTTTTCCCTCCCAATTTTCAGACAGTTCACCATCCAAATCAAAACATTCTGTTTCGTGCATCATCACATAATATCGCCAGCTGTTTCCATTTGTCCTAAAGATTCTAAACGTGCCTTTCTCATGCTTGAACAGAATTCCCCTTTGCTGCACATTATTGCCAAAGTAGGACACGTGAAAACTATAGGCAGTGAAAGCCTATCTGTTCATATGCATGTCTAGCCCTGGGAAGGAGTATGGTTGTTTTCTTAAACTTTATTTAGAGCTGTGTGAGTCCTATTTTCACTTCTAGTTGATTCTAATCTTTCTGCGATGCCTTAATTTCTGAAATGGACTCAACTTCCCCAAGCTTCACACAGAATTCATGTCAAATCACCCACACGGTTTTGCCCTCTTTAATACAAAGTTTTACTACTTTTAATAGACATTGGAGAGAATTTTTACCATATAGAAATTGGTGTGTGGCACAGGTTTAAGCCTTTTTATACTATAAACCTTTTAATACTATTTCTCACAGTGATACTAATTTTTCATTAAGTTACCACTAGTTAAGAATGAAATCTAAAACAAAGGGTGGGAGTGGATGGGTAGACTATCTGCTTTCATATTATTAAATAAAGCAATTTCTAGTTTCGCTGTATAATTGATGTTGAGTCACTTATGTGCCTAGGAGGGTTTTCGTGCATTCTCTTCTTTTCTGGACATTATGTTATATAAAATTAATTCAATGTGTATAGCCCAACATAACACCCTTTATCCTTTTTGACAATTCATTTGTCTTCAGGTTAAAGACCAAGTAAGAAGTAAGTAGGGGGATGGGCCATTATCCTTGGCCCAAAGGATTTCCTGGATAAAATTTCATAAATACTTTCAGTCTTGAAATTCTAAGATTCAGTAATTTCTCTCTTACTATTCTTTTATATCATCAAAAGTACACATGCTGGATAAATAAGAACTTTGCTATTTTTACTTGTTCTGATTTTCTGTTATCCCTGAACACACATGGAACGGAGTAGAAAGGTCTGAGCTGCAAAAACTACACATGCCGATCCTTCTCAGGCAGGCCATTTTTCCTTGCCTTGCCTCCTTCTCTCCACAGTTTAATCTATAAGTTCTGTACAGAGCCAGAATGATATAAACTCCATTAAAAACAAATGTTGTGCGTTCTCTCTCTCGCTCTCTCTCTAACACATACACACCACATGCATACACTTTCTCATGCACACGCACACACACATGCTCACTCACGCACACAGACACGGCATGCACACTACGGTCTAAATCTCAGTAACATCTATACCTTTAAAATTCTCTGTTTACTTTCCCACTCTCACCCCTGGTTCGCAGGATTCTCCCTTCCAAACCTGTGTTTTTCATTTCATCCTCCCCGCCTTATATGTTGCCATATTTTAACATTTCTAATCCCTACTTAAAAGTATCTTTTTTCAAAATGCTGCTAACATTTTTTGCACTAATACTTGATGTATTTCTTTCTTTTAACTACATGCTTTATTCAGACTCTAGATATTAACCTTGACCTGCCCTTAATTTCCCTCTCCCTCTGGAATGAATTCTTGCAGATTAGTTTCTAACGTCATCATTTGCTTAACGCCCATGCTATTGCTATAGGGAGGAGGCATTGTGTTTTCCCGCGCATTGAAGTATTCACTATACTTCATCATCTGCTTCGGCTCTCAAGCTGAGAAAGCTGTTAGCACAAGAACTGCCAGGATGACATAATTTCTCAGAGCATCCTCCCATCCCTAGTTAAATTCACTCCCTGCCTATCCTAGCCCCACCTGCGGGGAAATTTTAGTGATTCCAGTAGTGGATTCTCCTTTAAATAATGCACATTTGCTGATACTCGGCAATATTTCAAACTTGAGTTTGCAACGTTCTTTCTGTCCGGATGCACAGGAGTGGAGAGGGGCTTCACTCTCAGGTGAAGGTTTGCCGCTGCCAATTCTTGGAACACACACCCCCATTCTAGTAGTGACTCTAGTTCCCATTTCCTTCCTGGGGGTCGGAGTCCCACACCTCCCTGCTCCCACTGTTTTCTCATTTAGAGCTACTTCTCTGGAAGAGCGTGTTGCACGCATTTGAGACACTTTCACACTTATCTCATTTGTTCTTCTTCGAAACCTTAACACGGGGACACACTGTCTCTCTCAATCCTGTTTCACTGAGAAGAGGACACCGGTCGCTGATTCGTCCTGTCCTGACTAGAACAGGGCCGGCTCCAGTCCTCTTCTGGATGGACCATCTTTCCCACTCTCCCCCTTCACAAAATGTGGCAAGGGCAGAGCGGTGCCAGCCCGTGCCCCGCCTTTGTTTTCATTACCAGCGCACCTGGGCCTTAAGTGCTCAGCAAATGCCACGCTGCACACACAGATGTAGAAGCTGGCTTTTCCTGGCTCCAATTTACTCCTTCGCTCTCATTTCCTGTTTCTCGGCCTCCCCATGGTTTCTCTTCCCACCCCATTCCACTCCGCAGAACTGCAAATTTTTCTCTAACACAAACTTCCCCTTTGAGCCTCCCACCTTCAGGGCGGTTTCCCACGCAGGGCGGGCTCCGAGGTACAGGGTAGGGGTTGTCAGGCCCAAGGAGCTCACCTCCGTTTCAAGAAAAGTGGTACCCACAGTGCCCGACCCTCAACGACCGCCTGGGGCCAGCCCTACCCCTGCACCCCGCCGAGCCCTTTCCGCTTCCTCTGCTCTCCGCCCCTGCCGACCCTCTCGGGAGGCTTGACCCTGAGTCCTCTCTGCCGTGGAGGGAACAGCCGAGCCTCCTCCTCCCTCTCCCCGCCCAGAATCCCGCGAATCCACTGCTCGGTGCGCGCAGGCGGGGCTGCAGGGATGGCGTCCAGCACCGGGCTCCCCTCCGAGGACCGAGCACCGATCTGTCCCTGCTCGTGTCCCAGTCGCCCTGGCTGGGGTCCCAGCTCAGCTCGAGCCTCCTTTCCTCTTTAACTGCTTTCCTGAATAACCGGCGTGGTCAGGCGCCCCGGTGTGTCTGGGTAGCCCAGCGAGGCACACGCCCGAACCTCGCCCCCATTCATCCCGCCAAGGTGAATCTCGAGAGTGGGGCGCCCCTGCTTCTCCTGCAACCTGCGAGGAACTCGAACCCAAACAATGATTCCCCCCCTTCATCTATTAGAGTCTCTCTGCCCCCGCCACCCGCGGGGCAGCGCCCGCCGGGACCCCATTGTTGCCTAAGCCGCGGGGCGCCCGGGGGCGGACCCCGCAGACTCCGCCGGCTCCGCCCACACCTTTCCAACTTAGCCGCGGTTGATCCGCGGGGAGAGCTTGGGCGCGGGCCCCTTCCTCGCTCGCCCCCACCCATCCTGGTTGCTGCTGGGGAGTGGGCGAGGACCACGCGGGCTGGCCTCTTTATTTGTCTCCTAATTCTCTCCCCAAGGCTGCCTAGGCGCGTGGTGACACAAAAGAGGGGACTTGGTGGCAGCTCAGCAAGTCTCTCCAATGAGAGTTGTCATCCGGAGGTTCCTCTCTCCGAGACCCCTAGAATTCCCCCCAGGCTGCGCCTATTGGAGCGGCAGGGGCCATGTACGGGTTATTTAGGGTGCCGCAGAGAGGTGGTGCAGGTGACAGGGTGGAGCCGAGAAGGCCCAGGGCCAGGGGCGGGGGCAGGGGTGGGGCCGGGTGGGGCGGGGTGGCGGCTCCACGGATCCACCCCCTGCCGCTGGCCGGGCTGGCTAGATGAGGGTTGGGCAGTGGGTGTTGCGTTCTACCTCTGTGATCGGGGAGGGGTTAGTTTCCCACAGGGGATTTCAACCATCACACTCAGAGCCCGCCTCCTAATCCTCCGGCAGAGCGGCTCGGGGCCCCATTTTATGGCAATAAAGCGACTTAGCGCCTGCTGAGCGAGCCCCTCCCCGCCGCCGCCCCCGCCCTCGGCCCCACCCCGGGGCTCGCCCGCAGCGGCGGGGCTTTGTTTCTGGGGAGGAGGACCCGGAGCTCTTTTGTTTGGGGGTTTGCTGTCTCCCCCCCCCCACCCAGCCCCACACACACCCCAACCTCACCCCACCCCGCCCCACCCCCTGAGCCTCTCCGATTTCCTGAGCTGCGGGCTGCAAAGGGAGGAGAAGCAGCTTCTTGCAACCCCCTCGGCTGGGCCCCGGGGTAATTCGATGCGGGCCTGGCGTGGCTCCCCACGTTAGACCCGGGCTCGCGTCTCGGCAGCCTCCACCCACCGGCCCACCCTACATTTAGCGCATCATGTGATCCGGGTAAGTCATTTGCAAGTACAACAGTTCCCTGGGTTGCCCCCCATTCATTTCCTGAGAACTGCAGAGAGCAGCTGAGAGGCTCTGCTTGTGCGTGTGCGTGTGAGTGTGCGCGGGTGACGCCGTGTGAGTGTGTGTGTGCGCGAGTGTGTGCGCGCGCGCGTGTGAGAGAGAAAGGGCGAGAGAGAGGGGGACTCTGTGTGAGGGAAAGAAAACAATTTCTCCTGCTCTGCAGCTTCTGTTCAGGTCTGTGCCGATTCCGTTTTTTTTTTTTTTAATCAAAATAAACAACCCCCTCCCTTTTTTTTTTTGCTATCCCAAATCAGATCGTATTCTCTTAACATGTTTTATTTTCCTTCTGTCATCTGCTCAAGTTAAATCATTTTGGTTGGTCTGTGTTCTTAAAGGGGGGGAAAGTGTTGGGAAGCGGGAGGGGGTCGGGGAAGGGCGATGCTATTGCTGAGCCAGGAGCGGCGGTCGGATTCGCGGAGAAGAAAGAGGGAGGTTACTTGTCCCACTCCCTAAACATTTTTAAAAGAACTTAGCAAGTAACGTGAATTAAGCAAATGCTTTGCTCCCCCGACTGGAATTGTTGGTTGCAGTGTTTGCCTGACAGTTGCCAAGGATGAGAAATAAATCCCCAGGGCTGAATTGGAGAGGGGGGTACGAGGAGGGGGGGTTGTCGTGGAAGTAGTTGTCCCTAGGAATGGATGGGCTGAATGAATACCACGCTGGGGCCGAGCTGTGCGGGCAGTGTATGAGGTCTGGAAGAGTGGAGGGGAAGGGGTTAAGGAGGAGATAAGATTGCTGGCATGAATAGTAGTCCTGGCGCTACATTTATTATTGTCTCTGGTCGTAATGATGTGGAACTGTCACTTGCTACTGTGCCTGGTCTATGGGAGTAGCCAGGGGCTGGCCTGTGGCTGTTATTTTCAATTACGAAGGACCTGGATGGAGTTGACAAGGGATAACTTTGTAAGGCCACCTGGGCCGAGAAGCCCGCGGAGCTGGCCTAGGAGCCACTTCTAGCCTTGGACGCTCAGCTAAGAGGGCTAGGACTTGACCTCCAGCGACGTCAGTTGGTGTTCATATTAGATGCTCTTCTACCGAGGAGAATCAATTCTGCTTTTGTTGGGTAGAGAGCTGCCTCTCAGAACTTTGCAAACTTTTATCTTTGGGGAAAAGGGTGGGGTGCACTCAACAGTTTTGTTTCTTGGTGCATTTGAGGCAAATACTTGGAAAAAGTATCAATTCCTTTGTTGTATGTGCTGTAGCGTCCCAGCCCCCTCCCCCCTGCTCCTCTAGTTTTGCATACTTTACTAGTAATTGCCCTAATTCGGCTGATAAAAGCTGAAATGTTGAGTTAAAGAGTATTAGTACAACGGAATGTATAATCTGGATAAACAGTTTCTGTATTTAGTATTGTCAGCTCTCTAATTTAACTGTACAGATGGCTTAAATCTCTGTTTTGTATGGATTGTTTTAAATAATTCTACTGTCTAATAGAATTCTCGGCTGAGCACGAAGATATTTTAACTTGGCATTAGCATTCTGTTTCCCTGTAATACGGGAGAGACAGGCAAAGGCTCTATTTACATTTAGTGAACGTGCATCTAGGTGTTTCGTAGACATCTGCCAATCAAATACACGTCATTCTGCAAATCCACCTCGAAGCCTTCTTGCCTCTTTCTTAGTGGTGGGAAGAGATGTTTAGATAAGTAAATGCTCTGAAAGACATTTGGTGGCTTTTAGGAAGCCGCAGCTTCTGATGGGAAGAGGAGTGGTCACTTCGATGAGAAAATAGACCATGCTCCTAGACACGCTTTTAAAACTGGCATTTAATTAACATAGGGGGACCACTCCTCCGTAAGGAAAAAGCCTATCTACTGGCCAGTCCTTTTCTGAATGTTGGTTATATTAAACAAACAAACAAGCGAGCAAGCAATCAACAAATGAAAAACCAGATAGAAATTGGTTATGTAAAGAGTATATTTTTAGGTTTGAAAATTTTAAACTGTAGCTTGTTGTTCTTTCTAGGATGCTGGAAGCCAGACATTTCAATTGTATCACTGGTCAATCTTGTTAGACTGAGTCCAGGAAGCTCATTTGCGTTTGAGAGAAAGCAATTTGAGCATTTAAATATTGGCAAGAATGTTTACTTACATTTAGAAAAAAAAAGTTTATTATGCTAACTCTTAATTAATATGAAATATACTTAAACCAGCCAAGTTAAAATATTTTCACATGAAAATTTAATTTACGAACTGCATCCGTTTAACTAACATAGCTGTGCTAGGATAAATAAAACATTCTTGAGGATTTCTATTGGTTACTGAAGTCCTTCAGTTATTTGTCTACTACTTAGCAAGCCACATTTCAAAGAAACTTTGGTCAGCACAACTTTATTGGGGGATTACTTTTTATGACTATTTATTGAATGAAAATTGTTGTCTCCTCCCCCCATCCCCCCTAGAAAGTACTTTTCAAGAAACCATGTCCTCTGGGAGGAAATGGTCCTGGTCTAGCAGTTGAGACCTTGACCTTAGCAACTCTTGGCTGGTTGTTTGCTTCAGCTGCTGCCTGTGTGTGCTCCAAAAGCGTAGGTGGTACAAGCACCCTTTCTCCTAGGGTGCTTCATGTTCAGTTCCCAGAGCATGCGCACAGCCTAGACTCTATAATGTTATGACCATGCCTAGATATATATGTTGTTCAGAATTTTCATCTGGCTTCTTGTCAAGGGGAAACACATTTTCAAAGTCAGATCTTAAGCCACGAAGCAGTCCGTTGCCAACATAATAAAATTACTTATTTTAAAACGCGGTGTGTTTTATCTTAGCAAAGGTGATTTAACTACTTTGCCCTCCAGCCCCTGTACTGAGGACTTTGGAATGGGAGGTGTTGATTAATTTGTAGTTGTAAGAAATCTTATCCAGGGAGGCGGTGCTTGGAATAGCTGATGATATTAAATTGTCCTGGGCATTTTTCCCAGTTAATACAAAATGAAAAGTATGAAATTTCATATCTTATAAGTTAAATAACATTAAAATTATTCTATAAAATTGAGATGCTAGACAATGCATTTGCTTATGCTTGGGAGAAGCATTATTAAGTGCTTTGGGTTCAGAAATGTAGTTGCAGTATATGTGTATCAATACAATGTAATTCTGCAAAAGTTGTAATGACCCACACATTGTTATTATTATTATTATTATTATTATTATTATTGATTTTTTTATCCATTGTGGTTGTATGTGATTAATGAACAAGAGCTAAGAATCTCCAAATTAATACCACTGTTATTTTTTTGGTGTTGTTGTTTACGAAGTAACTTTCATTTTTTTATAAGTTCTGATACGGATTGCAGTTTCTGTCCCATTTACATTTTAAAAATAAATGCAATGGCAGACTGGAAACACTTATATTTTTCCCCATTCCCGTTTTAATGTAATCCTGTCAAGATTTTACCCACTCTGTCACTGCCCTTGAACTCCTGATCCTCCTGCCTCCACTTTTTGGGTGCAAGGTAGACATGTGCCACCACACCCAGCTTATTTTCCTTATTAAAAAAAAGAACACTCTAAAATGTTTTCATTTTTCAGCTTGTGAGTTGTTCATAGCTTTTGGCTTTAAGGGTGAATAAAATGTAAGAGTAAAAATATTAAAATTAAGTCACTGGCAACACCCTCCAACCATGGCCTTACCTCATCCGACACACCCTCTCCACTCCCAGAAGCAGAATAGGAGCTGACAGATGAGTCTTGCCCCGTACCTGGAAGGTCAGCCGCATGAGGCTCTGACATACCTGCTTGGGTTCTAACTCTGTGGGACTTCAGTCCACCAGAATTCCTTTTTGGGGGCCCACACAACCACACCCAGTCTGAAGTCAGCCACTGACAGGTGATCTGGAATAAATGGTTGCTTTTTCCATATATTTTCAATAATTAGGTTACAAAAGGTTGGAGTGTTTGTTTGTTTGTTTTGTTTTTTATTTTATTTTTGCCCCCCACAGAGTGGCTACTTGAGTATCTATACTGCCCTATAAAAATTTGCTTTGGTATGGCAGCAGATTATAATATCCAAAGAAATAACTGTGCTCTGTTTCTCACTTCCTTTTGTTCATCTTAAAGCCTTTTAAAAAAAAAGTTAGTTACAGATTTACAGATAAACACTGTTTATTTAGTTTGTTGCTATTTTAGAAGAGATTTTATCACTATTTCATACATGTATACAATGTATCTTGATTATTTCTCTCTCTTCCAGCTCTCCTTTTTCCTCATGAACTCCTCCCAATATAGTTGTCATGTTCCGTGTGTGTGGTATGTGTGTGTGTGTGTGTGTGTGTGTGTGCCCGCTGGAATGTTGACCTATCTGGTTGGCTTGTCCTTGTGCAGGTCTTGTGCAGGTAAACATAGCTGCAATGAGTTGGTCAGTGCAATAGCTATGTCCTGTCCAGATGATTGCCTTTCATAGCGCTCTTAACCTTTTCCCCCTCTCTTCCTCTGTTTTTTTTTTTTTTTTTGCCTTGGGTGGGGGGAGGAGAGGAAGCATGGTTGCTCAGGCAATAATGCAGAAGTTCCAGTTAGGGTTGAGCATTCAACAGTCAGTCAGGCTCTGCACTTCATTCTTCGTCTTGTACTACATGTTGTTGCATATTCTTTTTATACTTACCAAACTGGTTCAAACAGTATGGCTGTCTTGATATGGAGAGAGTAGCAGAGAAGTTTTGGGGTGGTCCTGCTACATGGGACATGTAAAAACAAACATTTGGGGTGTTCAAAGACACTTTGGTTCCCCACTGAAAGCAGTGTCCACTAGTTTTGACAGATTGTGTCCACGGTACAGCAGTTACTATAGTTTTCAAAGTATATAACTTCTTACAATTTTTGTGATGATGCATGTGTATAAATTACATATTTATATCAGTTTGATACCTATGCACAAATATATTTGTAATTTATATTTAAGCACGTGTTATTTATATCTAAGCATATTCTCTGTCTGCA